TTCTATCCTATTTGTCTTTTAAGAGAATTTCTTCTGAAATTACAGAACCAATCCCACAATTCCACCTATGCTCTCCTACGATTGCAAATATATTCATATTCTCTGTCTCTGTCTCTGTCTCTCTATCTCTCTGTCTCTGTCTCTCTGTCTGTCTGTCTGTGTCTCTGTCTCTGTCTCTGTCTCTCTCTCTCTCTCTCATATTTTCTTGCCTGTGGTAAAAAACATTCAAGGGAAGAGTCAAACCTGGACTCTGTCCTTTGGGAGCTTTTGATCTCATTGGGGAGACAAGGCATAGACACAAGATGCAATTAGGGAATAATAAGAAAGAGCGAGAGCGCTCAGATGTGCTGAGCACAATGTTCTATCCCTCTTCCGAATTCCATTCTTGCTTTATTAAACAATACTGCCAGACTGCTGACTCATGTTTAGACTCAGGACCTATAAGACAATGGCATTTCTCTGCTGTATGTGTGACCCCGTCAGATTCCTCTGTCGTATATAATATTTTTTTGTGTCACATTTAAGCAGATTTCCTTGAGTCTCTTCCATAGCACTCGTCCCTATCTCAGATCATTCTGTCTGCACGTGATCTTTTTTTCTGCACTGCCATTCTTGTGAATAGCTCGATGCACCAGCTTCCTACAGGGATAGCTAAGATAAAGCTGTCTACACGCCCTTCCTTACCTGCACTGTCTAGTGCTCTGCACTTTCTCTCTGTACTTGAATCCATACCCCTAGCGTTCTGGTGGGGCGATGGGAGGGAGGTACAGGTAGATAATCTGGGAGTGATCCCTTGCATTCCCAAGCCTTTAGTTTGCTCTCAAGGGAAAAGAAGCTCAGTGAGAATTCGGATGTGTTGTGGTCTGATGACTAGTTTTTGAGATGAGTTTACCAACAAGCGATGTGCTGATGAGTGAGCAGTTGCCAGACGGGGTACCTTCTCTCCTCTCTCCCACATTAGGCAGGTGTGTCTGGGACTGTAGCTTTCCTCTGAAAATGTTAGTAGGACCATCGACATAGACCTACCGTATTAGGGGAATAAGCTGCCAGGCAAGAGAGGATGTGCTTAGCAGGAATACATTTTGGTTTCCTGTTTGTGCTGGGAACAGGACAGCTGGACGGCTGCAGACAATGGAATGCGAGCCCTCCCGAGGCAACGGCATATGGCGGGAGTTTCAGGAGCTGTCCTGAACCAGAGGAAAGGTAAGCCACACACAGATGTGTAACTGAGCGGCCGCCTGGACCTACATTCCTCTGGGGCGTGTGTGCATGAGCACCAAATATGGGCTTAGACGTGGAGGGGATAGGATAAGATCATCTTGAGACGTCACACTGTGCCGATAAGAGAAATGGTCGAGAGGCCAGATGACAGTGAGAGAATCACGGGGTTGGCTTTTAGCAGCCTGGAGGAAAGAGCCTTGGTTTCCTGTTGATTCGACCATTTTAATGCAGTGTTCTGCGTGTGCTGAGATTATTAGTGTGCTGAGATTATTAGACGGGAGTTGGCTAGTTCAGGTTACTTGAGACGGAGGTTTACTCGGGTGAGCGAAGTAGGGTATACCTGGGAGGCATATATTTTGAATTCATATAGGTAGTTTAATGGTAACAGGTAAATGTCCCAAAAGTATTACTGTGCCTCGCCCTTAGTGGACCTTCAGTAATAGTTGTTTGAAACTTAGAAACCATTTACTAAACACATACACACAAGTAAAACTCCCATCATCCCACTCGATTCTCCACTTCTTGACGGAGGTGGAAGTGGCTGAGTCAACTTTGTAGGTAGATTTCCCTAATTATAGACAGTGGCAGCTGGTGAGCGTGTTGACAGAGCCAGACCAAAAGCTTTCCCCATGGCTGTGCAGCATGGAGGGAGGGAGGGAGGAATGGCTGCTGTCAACCCAGCCATTCGCAACCTGTAGCAAAGTGGTTTTGTTTTTGTTTTCTTTAAGAGGTAGAAGGAAGCCGGGCGGTGGTGGCACACGCCTTTAATCCCAGCATTTGGGAGGCAGAGCCAGGCGGATCTTTGTAAGTTCGAGGCCAGCCCGGTCTACAGAGTGAGTTCCAGGAAAGGCGCAAAGCTACACAGAGAAACCCTGTCTCGAAAAACAAAAACAAAAACACAAAAACAAAAAACTATTGACACAGAAGTACTTGGGTCCTGATATGAATCATCCATTTCAACAGTTGTTTTCCTCATTAACCCATCGATAGTGCTATAATCACATACTCTAGCTCCTTCTCCAGCAGTTGTGATCAGGTATCTATCTACTCTGATGGGAAATGCCAAGTTAGTTAGGAGCCTTGAATGCTGTTCTCGTAACTACTGGCACTTTGTTTAGTAATACTTGGTTGGACGTTCCCAGGTGACACTTCACCTCTTTGAACATTGATCAAATGTTTGATGTACTTTACAATTATGTGTTATCTCCTAAATTTTCCAAATGCTTTTGAATCGTCTCCCCACAGCCATGTGAGAGTCTTCTGAGAAGATGCTGAGAATGGGCTGCATATTAGGGAGAAAGAGTGCTGCTGGGATCCAAGAATGTGACACATTTTAGCTGGGGTCTCGGCAGCCACGCTTTGGCTTTAGGAAAATTCAGTACTTAGGGCCTCCCATGCTCGGCTAAGGGAGGTGAAGTGACTGTCCCAAGACCACACAACCGTCGCACAGCAAATCCAGAATGCCACGCCAGGCGTCAGATTCTTTTTAGTCCTCTCCTCCAGTCCATGTCAAACAGTGAGAGCATCAGCATCCTTACCTGGAGGCTCATAAAAACACACACCACTGGGTCTATTCTAAAGCCCTGGTCCAGGGAGAGAAGGTAAGGGGATGCATGCCAAGACTCGCGTGTATTTTAACAAGCTTTCTGGGAACCCTGGAGCTGCTGGTCTGAAGACCACATGCTGCGAGAATTACTTGCTGTTCAAAGTGTGGTCCCAGCAGGCATCACCCAGGAGCTCCCAGAACTGCAGCATCTCAGGCCTGCCAGATTAGAATCTGCATTTTAACAAGATCTCCAGATGATTTGTATGCAAATTAAAAATTTAGGAGGCTCCTCTCCACCACAGCTATCAGTTTGCAGAATACTATATTGAGTCCTACAGAGATGGGAGAGAATGGTCTTGCTAACTTCATTACCTGGCACTTTGTATTATAGCAGAAACTCCCCCGAACCATTTTAGGCACTTACTTTATTCTCCCAATGACTTTACGGGAGAGATACTAATACTATTCTCATTTCAAAGTTAAGAAGCTACCAAGATCGAGACATGTTGGTAATCTGAAACAAGGAGGGATAGATTCAGAATAGAAGGCTGGGCAGGCCACTCCTGAGGACCACACTGCCATTTACTAGACTATACAAGTTTACAAGCCCTGGTTGTCACTCGTACAGAAGGGGAGATGGAAAGTCAGGCAAAGAAACATAAAGCAAAAGAGAGGTTGCTGTGAGTAGATCGTCCAGGTCAAGAGAACTAATGTATTTATCCCACTTGGTGTCGGTAGTCCTGGGTTTCGTGGGGATGCTACAGATAACAGCTTCTGAGTTTCTCCCTGCTTCTGAGTTTCTCCACTTATAAGATAGAAATGATAGTAATTGATAAAGATAAAAGGGAATTCCATTGGCAGTTGGACTGGAAAGCAGGGCCTGACAACTGAAAGGGAAATTAGAGGCTTTCACAATGAACGGGCCGGACTGTAATTTGGTGACATAATCTACATCAGATCAAAACAAGATTGTTCACAAGCTAAACGTTGATTCTTTGGTGCCAGCCAGCTCAGACTCCTGATTTCTGAGATGAGACCGTGCTGTGGGATGGTCTGTATGTCAAATGCTCTGATTGGTCAATAAATAAAGCACTGATTGGCCAGTGGCCAGGCAGGAAGTATAGGCGGGACTAACAGAGAGGAGAATTGAGAGAACAGGAAGGTGGGAGGAGTCACTGCCAGCCATTGCCATGACAAGCAGCATGTGAAGATGCTGGTAAGCCACGAGCCACGTGGCAAGGTATAGATTTATAGAAATGGATTAATTTAAGCTATAAGAACAGTAAGCAAGAAGCCTGACACAGCCATACAGTTTGTAAGCAATATAAGGCTCTGTGTTTACTTGGTTGGGTCTGAGCAGCTGTGGGACTGGCGGGTGACAAAGATTTGTCCTGACTGTGGGCAAGGCAGGAAAACTCTAGTTACAAGACTGCACGTAGACTGGATCTCACAGTGACCACAATCTCACAAGGTGTGAGATTCTTCCAGCAAGCCCAGAGGCATTCCTGCCCAGCCTATCTATGGCTAACCCCAATTCATGAGCTTCCCGTGGGCCTCTTTTCTCACTCCTTGCTTTGGAGGCCCCTCACAGCTCTCTTGCTATAGCTAGTGATAACATACCTGGTGCTCAGGATAGGTGTGTTCCCGGGGGCTGGGCCACTGGGTTCAGACACAATCATACTCTTCTACCTGCTTAGATTTGCTATAAATATCAACTGAAAATAGCACAGGGAACCTTGCACAAAGGTGAGTTTTAAAACTTATTGCCATCTTTATATGCTTCTGCATCTTCTCCCTAAAGGCAATGAGACCCTATGTTACAAGAAGAAACTTATTTATCTCTGTGTCATAGGCACTCAGTGACTACTAATAGATAAAAAGTCAAGTCATCCCCAACCCCAAACAAACCATCTTCAGTTCTGCTCTCTCCAGACCCAACCTTGCGATCCCCTCAAATGGAATAAATATTTAGATTGCCTCAACTGGAGTGAAAGAATCGCCAAGCATTTGCGAAGGGACGGCCATCACCTGGGCACACTCACCAGCATGTTGTCACAGTCGTAGGTAACCTCTTAACAGTCTCCTGGGATTGTCAGTGGAAATACATTCCCTTTACCCAGAAAATCCACCCTGCAGCAGTAACTACACAGCTAAATAGCAGCAAGCTTTCTGCCCTGTGGAGCTGGTGTGCATCGCTCTATTAGCTAGGTGTCACTTGTAATCACACACCATGTTTAACACGGTGATTTACTTGGGAGCTTTTGTAATAGACTCGCACTAAGCACAAGTCAAGGTGCCTGGAACACGGTGACTACACCCAAACGTTCAGAATGCCTTTCAGCTCGGCGAGTTCCATCTAGAGCTAGACTCTCTGGGGATGCCTTTGTTCAACAGGAAGCTGCAGACAGTTCCTCGTCCTCAGGAAGTACAGAGCTGTCTGGTGTTGTGTGGCTTCCCTTTTCTCTTCTGGGGGTGGCAGTACGAGACCCTCGTCTTCCTTTGTCTCTTGGGCCCAGGTTCTGGCTGCCATGCCTTCTGAGAGATGTCCCATGGGGATAACTCTGGTATAGGAAGGAAGGAGATAAATGTCATGGCCCTACAGATTAGAACGCAGACCAGTACTTCCTGCAAGCCTACTGTGTGCTGGGGGGCGGTCTTCTAGGGGAAGGAGCTCCAGCAGCACCCCCTTCATACCCCATTCCTAAGAGCAGAAATGAAGACAAGGAACATGACAGGGTAGCTGCCATTTCCTCTTACAGCAGCCAGAGAGACATGTGTCCTTGGAGCAAAAGCAAAATGTGTCTTCCGTGGGCTTAGTCACACTGGCAGCACTCTTCTCTGCTCAGAAAAGATTGGAGGCTTCCCCGTGGCTCCTCTGTGAGTCCCAGTGTCTTCCTGGGTCCGGAACCTACTCTCAAACTGGATAGGACACGGTTGACTTACTGACTTAAGCCGAGGGAACCAGATATCTTTTTTTTAAAAGCCGTTCTCTTCACACTTCGGCATTGGTATCTCTCAGAAACGTACCCCATTCCTGTTCCAGTTCCTTCTCTCCTTGCATTCCCTGTGCTGCAGACTTCTCCATGAGAACACAAGCATTCCTCAAATAGAGGAATGCTTCTCTTCCCCTCCACCATAGCTTACAGCTTAGAATGGTGCTTGATCCCTTTGATCCGCAACAAGTGCCGGGGAGAGGTGCACGTTTTAAAGAAATGCAGGTACCACACTGCCTTCAGATTTCAAGATTCAGCATCAGCCTTACCCTGCGTTTCAGAGGTTTCCTTTTACAACAGAGGTGGGGGAAGAACAGTGTAGCTATTTCGAGATGAATGACCTTTCTGAAACTCCTGCTGTCCCTCTCTCCAGGGGAACAGCCTTTGAGGTTCCTTGGGAACTTTGGGCAGCCATCTACCTGTTTCCTCCTTCTGTGTCTTATAGCTGCCCTGGGCTTCTTTCAAGATAATTGCTCTTTGCTTGGCCAGGTGGAGGCATCCTGTCAGATGTGTGATTATCTGTCATTTAAGGGCCTGTGACTGACTTGGCTATTTGCTGTCTTCCCTTCTCCAGGATCCTAGGATGGGGTCGAGGAGATGGTGGGAACAACTCACTCCACCTTAGCATCCAAATGTTCTGTGCAGAGAGGGATGTGGCTAGATCAGTTGTTCAGGTAACAACTGACCCAGGCACTTGGTCAATACTTAATACTTCACTGCCCTTTCAAAGCACCAACTCTGCGTGTTGATTCACTATATAAAGGTAGGGTGTAAGGAGGAAACTGCAGGGGACCCTGTTCAAGTTCAAATCTCACCTATGCCATTTTTAAAACTGTGTGATCTTGGGCACGTTAAATTCCTGGTGCTTCAGGTTCCACATGTCTGAAATGAGAATAATAATGATGAATACTTGCTACTATTGTGGCAGTCATATCCATACATGTAAGGTGTCTCCAGGGGCACCCGTTACTTAGTGAGTTCTCGCTATCAGCTATCCCTTTCCTTAAAATAATGTGAGTATACATGTTATCGAAGTAGTGGTTAAAAAAACTTGTCATGAATTTTGTATTTTAGTTTTGTTGTTACTTAGGACTGGATTGACCAATGCTCAATTATCTGAAATATTAAATGACCAGACACAGGAAGAAGTCTTTTTGTTAAAAGGAGAATATTTACGCTAAAATGTTGGACTTGTAGTTCTCTCTGCTTGCTAACATAAGGGTCATATCTTGCTCTCTTATTTATTTCTTTGGCATGCTGGAGTCACATTCTCTGCCACCTGTCATTTTGGGGGTTCATTAAAGGATTTGAGACCAAGCTAATGAAGCAAGTCAGTCTTTCCTAGTGGACAGCAGCACGAACCAGATACAGGTTCTCAGAGTTCTAGAGGACTGTGGGGTTGATTTCATAGGACATTACTATTTGGGGTGGAAGATGACCCAACCAATGGTAGTGTGGCAGCTGGTAACAAATTTTCACATTCGTTTTTAGTTAATTTGTTTGACATTTCATTGGCATTAAAATTGTTCATATTTGCTAAGTTCAAGGTTTTGTTTACACGAATATACACATTGTGCAGTGATCAAATCAGGGTAACCATCATATCTACATCTTAAATATTTAACATTTCTTTGTGGTGAGAACATTTAAAATCCACTTTCTGTAGTCACTCTGAAGTTGACAGCTTACAGAACAGCAGAACTCGTTCCTCCCTTGGGCCCTTCCCAGGTTCTCTAACTACCCTATACTCTCACCCTCAGAGGATGACATCAGCATTTCTAGATTCCACATCTCAGTGAGGTTATGTGGAATTCATTTTTCTGTGCCTGGCTTATTTCACTTAACATGGTCTTCACATTCATCCATGTTGCCACAAATGGCGGGACTTCATCCTGCCTTTTGTGACTGAATTATATTCAGTTATACCAGAAACTTCTCAGCAGACAGAGGTTGATGTCAAGAAGGACATGGCTTCTTCTCATTGGAGCCTTTCAGACAGAGGAGCCATGGTTAGGCTTTACCTGTTATGGAAAGGGTGTGTAAAGCGCAGAATCCAGCCAGATGCTGCCTCCTCCTCCTCCTCCTCCTCCTCCTGCTCTTCCTCCTCCTCTTCTTCTCCCTCCTCCTCTTCCTCCTCCTCTTTGTCCTCCTCCTCTTCCATGCTGATGCTCACATCCTGGGCCTACTATCTGCTAGGTTAACAGCTCTCTCACAGAAGCCCTGCTTTGTATTTCTGATGACTCAGTGTTTGAGGTGGGTGATGTTATAAGCCGATGTTCCTGGCCTTGAATGGTTATGACCTGAAACAGTTTGTACAAGGGAGCCCTTGAGTTCGTTAAGATATGTAAGTGTTCATTTTCCTGAACTTAGCAACGTCTATCTTTTCCTTCTGTGGGTTTTTTAAAAAATCTTTCTGGGAATAGCTTTAGAGAGATGGGTCGATTCAGGCAGAAGACTGTTCTGTTGATAACAAACTGTCCAAATTTGGACTAGCCACTTAGCCTCCCCAAGCTAAAATGTCCTCAACTATAAAATAGAAAATAATAATTCCAGGGTCATTGTCACCAGGATCAAATCAGATATCATTTATACAATTTACAGGATGGAATCTGAAGCCATTCACAGCAGCAAAATGGTTCCAAATCGTCCCTTTGACAAAGGTTATCAGTCCCAATTATCTATTGTAAGCGGTTACCCTTGAATAATGATTTGCTCATCTGTCTGCCATCTGCAATGTGAGTGCGTCAAGGCCAGACATAGCCTCTCTTCGAACCTCATGGCCTTAACAGCAGTACAGCTCTTGCTGAAGGTTCAGTGACTCGAGCACCGGTTCCCAGCAGGATAGAGCTGGAGAAATCACCAATTTTGTCAGCACACTAGGATACCAGCTTGTAGATGAGGAGACAGGAAAAGGGCATAATTTGTTGAGGGGCCAAGCAAGGTGTGATAATAACTCAGATACAGTGTAGACAAAGAAAGACTCCATACTACAGCAAGGATTGCATGGTGGATAGATGTCTGTTGGAGGGAGCACCAAAAGGAACGGCTGGGGATGTCCCACTGGCTGTCTGTGCCTGCTTCCATCCCCCCAACCCCCCAACCCCATCCACTTTTGCCTTGCTTCTACCCTTCCCAACAGTAGGAGGTAGATGTGGCTTGGGAATTCTTTTGAAATTCATTTAAAAGTCTCTATATACTCCATCTCTTCCTTGTTTGAAAATGGACAGTAAGATTGCATCTGCATGGAATTTACTATAAAATATAAAATTATAGCAATTATTTACTAATTTTCTATTCTAAGGCAGGCACTAGACTAGATCTTTCACATACATTATCTCTAGTTTTCACCCAGATTCCAAAGACAGTATTATTATTACTATTATCATTTGCTGTTGAGGAAGCTCCTGAACCAGTGATGTGGGTGGTAAGTGATGGAGTCCAGATTCTAAACCAGCTCCACATACCAAAGGCCTTGATGTTGTAGCTAGGAGCTTTGTTCTTGCCTGTGTGATGCAAAATTGGCTGCACCACTGACCTTTCAATATTTCCTCTCTAAGTAAGATATAAAGAATACAGGATATAATCATACCTGGTCCACTTTATAATGCAGATAATTATGAAGTCAAACAAAATGAAATAGTGTACTAGTCTGTTTTATGCTGCTGTAACAAAATTTCTGACACTTACTTCTAGAGAAATAAGATCTCTTTAGCGTGTAAATTTGGAGGTCCAAGGGTGTGGTGATTACACTGGCTTAGCTTTGCTGGGGATATCATGGTAATCAGCCTCGCAATGGTAAAAGTCCAGGCAGACAGAATCATCACATAGGAGGAGTCAGTATTTCTCTTTCAATAATAATTCTCTTAGGAATTAGTTGGGGGTCCCATGAGAACTGTGTTAACCCTTTTTTAGGGCAGCTTCCCTAATAATCTGATGACCTCCCTAGTTCCCACCACATCCTCTTCTTCCAGTGAGGACCCAACTTCCAACATTTGAACCTGTGGGGGACACACCAAAGCCATATCTAACTATAACAGATGGTGAATGTGATGATATTCTTTTTAATCAGGCCTTTCCTCTGTGTGGGCCAACACTTCTCAGATATTGGATCTTATTCCATTAGTCCATCCCCTGTGGTCTCTGTCCTCGGGGTTAGACTTCTGATGGAAGTGCTTTGCCCGGACCATCATTCTTGGGGAAATCTGCTCCTAATTTAGAGCCTTATCAGCAAAGCTCTCACTTCCTTCCTCATCCATTTTCTCATCTAGCAAATGAAGATGAAGATAACAACTTGCCCTTGAAAGCTCTGAAGAGAAGCACTATTTTAATACAAAGCCTTACTTAGGGGAAATATCCATTCAAAGCTGATGCACATGAAGCGTTGATTTTTAGCTTTTTTAAAAAACAGATGTACAGACACAGCAAGGGGTGGACAATCCACATAGACATTTTGAACAGTCTGCACTGTAGAAACAGGTGAAGGTCTCAGCTGCCTGCTTTAGATTATAGAATGCAACATTAAGTTCAAGTAAAGGAAGGCTTCCTGGTTTGTACAAGTGTTTCCTGTGGTCCAGGGTCTGCACTAGCCAAAACTAGGAAGAATCCTATCTGGTGGGATGCCCTGAGGGTGCTGTGTGACACTATGTGACCAGATGGCCAGATGGCATTTTTAACATAGCGTGTCCTGTGGATTCGATAGTACAGCAAGAATGCGCTCTTGGTCCCATCTGCCAGGTGATGCTATTAAAAGCTGAACAGACATAATATTCACCCTTCCTGATCATATTAGCATGTCTGTATTTGCCTGATCTGTGAACACAGAGCCCTCTGGACTTGAGATCACATTAGCAGTGGCCCTGGCTGCGTACTGTGCTGTAGACTTCATGTTTGATCCTATGTACGCACACCTAAATGGGAAAAGGATGTAGCTTGCCACGTACAAGAACACTACTCTTGTTTTATGATTCTCCCACACAGAAGTAGGAAGGAATCAGGAATACTGGCAGACGGTAGGGAGGTCAGTGTGAGTTTCAGAATGGAGCCAAACATGCTGCGGTTGGAGAAGGGAAAGGCTACCATTTAAAGAGCAAAGACCTAAAAATTAGGACTCCTGGGTATTGACATTATGACACATGACCTTGAGCAAGTCAGTCCCTCAGAGTGTCAGCATCCTCATAGGCTATTCTTGGCACAGAGGGCAAGTGTCCACTAGTAGTCCACTTTGTGTACTACAGAATGCATTAATGTTAAGGATTACATGGACAGCAGACACTTGGAGATATTCTTGTTTGCATGCCCAACACTTAGGTCATGGCTGGGCATAGGGTGAGCACTTAATTATGTTTGGGGACTAATGATACAAATCATTGAGCTGCAGGAGATGAGGCTGGTAATGAGGTTGGTGGACCTAGAAGACAGAATTACCAATGAGTCCAATTTGCCTCACATCTGCACAGGCTAGAGGTTAAGGACATTCTCATACCTGCAGCCCTAAATAGTCAAGATGTGCCCGGTTTCTAAACTAACACTTAGTTCTCTACAATGGAAGAAAATTTCGCGTGGATCCCTAGGACTCACTGAAGTTATTTGTGTGTTTCTTTAAACTGAATTGATTAATAAGATGAAATCATATGGAAAAAAAATCATTGTGGTCATCAATTCCTATAAAATTATAAAAACACAAATAAAATAAATTATAAATTAAACCAAAGTGAAATTCAAATTCAAATGGGCATTAACTTAATCTGATGGATGATGTTGTTTTATGGAATGTAGTTGGCCTAGATGTGAATAAGGTCCTGAGACTAGGGAAAGTCTTCTTTATTTAAGTTTTCTCATGCTTAAGATTTTTTTGCAGTTTCACACATGTATTCAGCCTATCGTGATTATCTTCATATCCCCCACTGCCATCTCGAACCCCCTCCTAAGTGGGTGACCCTTCCTTTCCAGCTAGTTTCCCTCCCACTTCCATCTCTCTGTGTCTCCCTACATCTCTCTCTCTCTCTCTCTCTCTCTCTCTCTCTCTCTCTCTCTGTGTGTGTGTGTGTGTGTGTGTGTGTGTGTGTGTGATCACAGCTTACATGTGCTCTTGACTGCAAAGGTCACATCATGTCCAGAGGACAGATTTTATAGGACTTCTCTTCATCCTCTCTCTCTGACAATCGTCTCTCCTCTTCTGTGATGTTTCCTAAACCTTGAAGGGGTGATGCAGATGTCCTATTTAGGGCTGAGAACCCAATAGACACTTGTTCTCAGCACTCAAGAGACTTTAGGTCCCTCCTTGAACTGTCACCTACTGTACACACCCTGAGCAAGGCTGAGAGCAGCACTTGTCTATGGGTATACACAGGAACATGTAGAAGTCAGCTTGACTGCATGTCTATGGGTATACACAGGAACGGGCAGAAGTCAGCTTGACTGCATGTCAATCTAGCAAACCAACAGTAATAGGCTCTTCCTTGGAGCTCGTGTCTTCCCTCCCTTTTCCACTAAGTTCACAGTACCAGGTATGTTGTATTCCCTATGGAGTGGGCCTCCAATCTGGCCAAAAAGTAGTTGGTTGTCCAAGAATGGTCATGCCACTATTGAACCAGTGGGCGTGTCTGACCTGGAATGTTGGTATTGAAGCATTCGGGATCCACATCTGGGTAAGGTCATGGATGGCTTTTCTCCCTCAGCAACCTCAAGAGTACCTTCTGGCACTTCCAATACCAGTAAGCATGGAGCTTCCAGCTCAGGTCCAGTTTGATTTCTCTGTTACCTCTTTCCAGAATATGTGGTGGCTTCAGTGATCAGATCTTGACCTGGTGGGCAATCAGAGCAATGAACGGATTGTCCTGTGACTGTGAAACATTTACCCTATGATACTTGATAAGATGATACCATTACAGAGAGTCTTATCCTAAGTTATTTTCTTCTTAGGACAAATAAATAGTATTATTGGTCCAAAATTCATTCATTCAAGAGTTGTTTACTAAGAACTTACCGTGTTCCAGACAGCACTTCTAGATTCTTGGACCACACTAGTAAACTAGAAAAAAAAAAAAAAGAGTTTGCATTTTGATGGGGAAGATAGTAAAAAAAATGAAACTCTTAGAGTCTATGTAGTATGTTAGAAGTTAATGTGTGCTGTAATGAAAACAAAATGGAAAGATAAGTTGGGTTTTTTTTTTTTTTGAGTTTTGAATGGGAAAGTGAACAGATATTGCAAATTTTAGCAGCGTGATACTAGGTATCCCTGAGGAGGTTACAACTGAGCGAAAGAGAAAATGGAAGTGAGGAGTAAGTGACAGGCAGAGAGAAGAGTCAACGGACAGACTGTAAGTACCTGAGGCAGAGGCCAAGGGGGCTGCTGGGCGTGAGTGAAGGGAGCATGACCAAAGGCAATGCGTGACCAGACTACGGAAGGGCTGGCACTTATTCTGAAAGAGATGAGATTTGCTTAGAGGATATGGAGCTGAGCCGTGACAGGGTATGAGTGACGTTTTAGTAGCAGCATCCAGGCTGTTACAGTGATGTTAGATGGTGGAGTGATAAGGCTTGATTAAACCATTTTTTGTAGTAATGCTGAAGGACTATGATAGTGATTCATACCAAGATGGTGGCAGCAGACACAGAGCTACTGTTCAGTTTCTGCATGCTATGAATAGAGAGCCAAAGGAAGTAGGAGGAAATGGGAGCTAAGACTGACTTTGAAGTCTTTGACTTGGGAATTGAGCGATAGGAACTGCCATCAACTGAAGTAGGAAAGACCAGGGGATAGTGCAGACTTATTTTTTTTTTTATTTTTAAGTTTTTAAACCTTAAAAAAATTGTCTTTTGACCCAGAGAGTATGTGCAACTTTCATTGGTCATTCTGAGTCCAGGTTCATCTGACACCAGCCTTCTCTATCATGTTCCCAATGTTGGATCCCAATGAGTTCTAAGTAGATGCATACCTTCTGTGTCCTGACAGTGGATGGAGTCTTTGCCAGAGTGCCCTTCCAGAGTAGGTTCAAGGCCATGGTGGGTCTCCCCTGGGCCTCAGCTCCCACCTGTGTACATTGACAGGGAGGACAGACACTCTTGTAACCTGTGTGCCTTAGGTGTACTGAAGGCGTACCAGAGACGAGGTCACTGCCACATCCACCTTGGCCCTCAAGATAGGTCCCCTGGGTCTGCCTCCCAGAAAGGTAGGTGATGACATCACAGAGGCAAACAGTGACTGGAAAGGACAGAGGATTACCATTGAAACTGACCAATGAGAACAGACAGGTCCAGAGGAGGTGCTGCCTTCTGCCCCTGCCCTGATCATCAAGCCCTCAAGGAGCCACTGAGAAGCAGAAAGAAGCAGAACACTAAACAGTGGAAATATCACTTTGGATGAGGTTGTCAATGCTGCCCAGTAGGTGCCACCAGACTTTAGCCAGAGAACTTTCTGGAACTATTACAGAGATCCTGGGTACTGCAGTCTGTATGGCGGCCACTCTCATGATATCATAGATGACGTCAACAGTGCTAAGATGGAATGCTCATCTGCCTAAGAAGCAACAAGAGAAAATACTTCAACAAAAGATCATCTGATGGCCAAAAACACGTATTTTATTTTGTTATTTCATGTGTATGGGTGTTTTGCCTTCATGTATACCTATGTACCACATGAATACAGGGTCTCTTTAAACATCAAAATCAAAAGTCTTTTGGATGCAATTATTTGGATTCACATAATTTGGAACTGAGGTTTTAGTTTGGCTGTTTATTAGTTACATAAATAATATCACCTTTTGTGGCTTGTTTTTCATTTTGTTTATAGAAGGGTGTATTACATACAACTCCACAGCATTATGGGAATAAAGTGTGTCACTAGTATACAAAATAACAACTAACAAATGTCTAAATGTTGGCTGATACTATTGTCTGCCACCATTATTAATTTTCATATATTGAACAAACATTGCTAGGTTAGTTGTGGCAGGAGATTTCAAAGCCACTCTAGGGAAAAAAAAATCTACAGGCACATAGAGCCAGGGCTGCTTTGATTCTGCCATTATGTAAATGCTAACCTAATAGACTGATTTTTTTGAGACAGTAATTTCAGTTCCCACCTCTGTTGCTAAATATAAGAACTGACTTTGATTCCATGTATTCAAGAGAAGCTCACTGTTCATTACTTCTATTGTTTCCTTCATCCTAAGTTTAACCGGGCTGGTTTATCACTTGATTAGGTAGTGCCTCTCCTTTGTAGAACTCCATTTAGTCAGATCATGTATTTATTCAACAAAGGTTTATGGAGTTTCTGCTGTGTGGTAGACAGTGTGGAATCTGCAAAACTGACTCACCCAGGACAACTCCCTCCATACAGCTTGTGGTCGAGCAGAGACAGCTAATAGCAGTCATTAAAACAAAATGAAGAATGAGCTACAGCTGTGGTGCTGATGGTACACCGTGGCTCCGAGAGAAGGTGACTTCTGTTTTGGCTAAGACTTGTCAGAAAAGTTTTATCATAGGACGCAGAATAGGAGAGAGAAACAGTGTTCAGGGAAATGGGGGGTTGCATGAGCAGAGAGAGAGGGAGACAGAGACACACAAAGATAGACAGACAGACACACACACATACTCACACACACACGGGGGGGGAGGGGTGGAGAATGTAAGAATACAGGGAAGGGCGAGAAGGAAAGGAGGTTTCCAGTGTGCTTATAAAATAGATGGTGAGCAGGGACAAAATGCCTTTCCCCTTCTGAATCTGAGCTTCCGCTGAGCCTGGCGATTCTCCTTTTTCATGCGTCATCTGGTGCTGCTGGCTCGGTGTCAAATGTTGCACTCAATGCTGGGGACAAAACCAAGAACAAGATATTGGGGAATAGCAAAGTCATCCAGAATCCAGGCACAAAGTTCAACCCCCTCAGATAACTTCCTTAAGAGTTACCTTCTACCTCCTTAAGACCAGCAACCTGCTGGCCCTACCAGTTCCCTGCCCACCCCCACCACTTCACCTTGTCATCCTTCCTCCTCACCTAGAGTCCACATTCTAACACCACAGCCACGCCTTCACAAACATTCCTGACTTCTCTCCTCATTCCCTGTGGTAAACAGCTGGCAGAGATGCCGTGAGATTTAAACAAATGGTCCATTTGTACCAGAGAAGCTGAGCACTCACCGCTGAAAGACAGGGATGTGTTTGCACATAAGCCTTTGGGGACATCTTCAATAGTTTGTGCCACAAACCTGGAAAGACTGCTTTACACTGGCCATGTCATCCAGCTGTGGTTTCCTAAATGCAAAAATTCACCTTCCCCATCTTTGAGATGACTGAACGCCTGCCTTCCTTTCTCCCCAGTCTCTCTCAACGCCCTCCAGCTGCTGTGTTTGCTTCAGTGATACAGCAAAACAGATGTGCATCATTCTCTGGGACGGTTCCTGTAAGCCACTGCACCAATAGGCACATGCTGTCCCTCTTCGACTGTTGCCAGAGAAAGACGGCCCCTGCTTCTCTCTGAGGTCAAGTTTACCCTTATTTACTTTGTTCCTATTTTTTTCTCAGCTTCCCAAGAAGAATTTAAGTTTTCTTGTTTCAAGGATACTTGTGTTATGTTTGTATGAATTTATTTTTTCCTTTGGAAAAAGTAACTTGATGCCCTGCACACCTTTGGATAAGAGGCTTAGCTTCAGAGTCACACTTGTCTTAACTGCACATTGTGGATAACAACTTGATTGCAGTGGGAGCCAAACATATTGATGGAACTGGAGGAATGCAGTAAGCTGTGAAAGGTCTACAGAGGACCGGGAAATTGCTGTGGGATGGTCTGTATGTCAAATGTGTTGCTCTGATTGGTCAATAAATAAAACACTGATTGGCCAGTAGCCAGGCAGGAAGTATAGTCAGGACGAAGAGAGAAGAGAATGGAGAGAACAGGAAGGCAGAGGGAGGCACTGCCAGCCGCCGCCAGGACAAGGAGCATGTGAAGATGCCGGTAAGCCACAAGCCACGTGGCAAGGTATAGATTTATAGAAATGGATTCATTTAAGATGTAATAACTAGATAGCAAGAAGCCTGAGCCATTAGGCCGAACAGTTTAAATAATATAAGCATCTGTGTGTTTATTTTATAAGTGGGTTGTCAGACTGCCTGGGCTTGGCTGGGCCTGGAGAGAAAACTCTCCAGCTGCAGGAAATGAAAAATGACAACTAGATGCCATCTCCGATTGGCTATAGGTTATATATAAGTATCCACCATAGGCAGCATGCATTAAGAAATCTGAATTAAAAAACTATAGAAGTGTGGTCAAGGTTGAAGCAACATACAAGACATATGGAGGCATCCAGAGTTTAGCCATAGAGAGAGGCAGTTGTTGCCTGAAGGACTCAAGGGGCGAGGGAGAAAGACAGTATCATTAGAACTCCATGAGGGGCAGCTCAGAGGAGGGGACTCTGGAAGCATGACGCTCCTGTGAAGGGACTTGGTACTGAAACGGAATGGGACAGGAGAGGCCGAGTCCAGTTAGAAGACAGAGGGAAGGCCACCTAGACTAGGTGGACAATGGGACCAGCCTGTGGTCACAGCATACAGCAGAGAGGAGAAGAGAATGTATCTGGAGAGGGTGTAGTTAGCGAATACAGCGCAAGGAACCAGAGCCATCCTCTAAAAAAGTGCCAAATTTTAATAAACAGACTGCTACCATGAAAACAAAACAGAAAAGGAAACACCACTGAAGATGGAATAGCCGACCTTAAACCCACATGTATGCCCAGAATCATCTTTTCTCCATAAAGTAGATGTTCCAGAAGTCAGTTTACAGTCCAGCAGGCTCCAGTTAAGAAGCATAGAGGTGGAAATGTGAGCAACTTTCCCACTTTTACCATTTTTCTACTGCTCATTTTTGCTTTATTCCTACTTTTCTTTCTAAGAAAGCTTAGTTATTGAATAACTGTTAGCACATAGCATGTATCTGATGCTCTCCCTGGAGGCTTTCCTCTTTGCTTGGTAACAGTCAATCAGCACGCTTCCCTCTCGACAATATTAACATCCAAGATGGTGAGATAAACAAGCTCATTAAAAAGCAAGTTGCTACATGAAGCAAACACCTTAGAGTAATAATGCCTGGCTTCCTCTGTGGTGCGCCCAGGGAAACGATATTAGCAGCCTTGGCAGTGGTCTGTGTTTAAGGAAAAAGCTCAGAAGAAGGCCATTTTCTCCCCTGGAATTATTCAGGCAGCATCCTCCATTTATAGCACCTTGGGGAAATACCAGGCCCATGTCCTCAGAAAGAAGTATTTAGGTGGTACATTGACTGGGGGATCCTTTCACTGATGCAGCGGGGACTTTTCCCATTCCTTCAACCTTTATTGAGTCTAAGTGACATGCACCATGCTGGGATCTGGGCATCTAAGGACAAGCAAGGTACCATCCTGGCCACAAGAGGGCTCTTCCTCTGCTGAGTGAGGCTTACCATGAGTAAACAGCCAGGAGAAAAAAAGAGTTAGTGCATGAGGAGTTTGAAGGAAATAAGAAAGGTGGAATTAACTTAATTAGGGAAGGTGGATAAGATGGAGACAACTGTTCAGGGACTGTCTATTCTTTATTGATTTCAGGATCAGTTGATCCAGCAGCAAACCTGTAGTGTTGCCAAGAGCTTTGCTGAACTAGTCTTGCCATCTACACAAACTGAACCAGTTGGCAAAAGGTTTTACCAGAGACACAGCCTGAAAAGTTGAATCTACTCCCTGCCTCCAGCCAGCCCAAGATGGGTGGGGAACTGAAGTGTGTCCAGTACCCAGGCTGCTCAAGGTGCCCTGGGCTGAATGCCTGACTGAGATGGTCAGGGGTCCCAGGAGGGCAAGCAACTGAGGACTAACTTGAGGTGACAATGGGCATATGTGACCTTTATACGGTTAAGACGAGATTTGTAGGATTTCATTTGAACTGGTCTGACTGTTGAAAATATTTGGAGGTTCCAGGCCTGCTTCCCCTCTTTGACCTTGGAGAAGAATCTAAGCAGCTTTTCATCTATAAAAGGCAAGGAGTGTGGGAAACGTTAACCCTTATCACAGATATATTACCAGCTTTGTAGCACTGACTGCTGCTCAGCTCATTGAATTTTCCCTCATTCCTATAAAAGAGGATGCTTTGTTTTCCATTCTTTTAGGTCTGTATCTGAGAGAAAGAAATTTGGGGTTCCAGTGAGCTTTATGGGAACTAAAGACATAAAAGGTGGGAAGGGTGGAGCTGAGCTCTGACTGACCTTCCCACTCGGCATCCCACAGACTCAGCCTGGGTCTGGGCAGCCTCCTGGTTCTCAGTTTGCTTCCCAGGTGGCTGCAGCTCCAGCCATGTCCTTGGGTGTCCTTGGAGTACCATTTGGTTGGTGAGTCAGGATGCTTGGCAGGCCTTACCAGTCTGTGTCTCTGTTCTGGGGGAAGGGGGGTTTGTTGTAACAGAGCCATCAAATTCTGGATTGGTGGGCTTTTCTCAAGGGAGGAACAGCCAGTCCCCAGGTCTCAGTGTCCCTTAAGAAAGAAAGGGGTCATCAGATAGCCCTATTTTTGCACAATGTGTTTGCTAAGTGCATCATCTACTAAAGAAAGCTTCTGTGTTGGCTTATTTCTTCAGAAAATATTATTTTTTGCTTGTCCTTTTCTGATCTGGTGTTGGTTCTGTTGATTTGGATTGAGGCCTGAGACTGGATCTTTCCCAGCAGGCTGTGGGAGGCATTGTTGTGTCTTTTCTCTATCCAGAATCACACCCACAGCCATGTCCAGTTCCCCATGGGCATCTCATATGAATTTCTTGAGTGATTATGTTCCAGCAACAACCAGAAAAGACCACCAATACAGTCTGTGAGATCACCCTGGGCTGTGGGTTCCGGTGAACTGTGTCCCAAAGGCTCATGTGTTTGAATCCTTCCCCCCCCCCAAAACCGGAGACTCGAGTTTAGAAGGTTGTGGAAGCTGGGGGGAGGCAGAGTCTCACTGGAGGACGCAGGCTCTTGAAAATGGACCTTGAGCTTTATAACTGAGCTCCGTTTCCTGTCAGCTTTCTCTCTGCTTTCTGGCTCAGATGTGCTGTGACCAGCTGCCTCAGACTGCTTCTGCCATGCCTGCCCTCTACAATAGAATGTATTCCTTCTTAGACTGAGCCAAGATAACCCTCCCTCATGTAAGTTGCTTCTGTTGGGTGTTTGGTAATAATAAGGAGAAAAGCAACTAACACATACATGAAAAGTGTACACCTCCTCACCATCAACTATTTTTCTGTTTATGGATAGGAGGATGATCAACGCTGTCTAGCATAACCAGTAAAAGTTTCCCCATACCTCTCACGTGCCCCCCTGTCCCATTATCATCTCTACCGCCAAGTTCCCCAACAGAAGTGGAGATCACATTGTTTGATTTTTATGAATCAGCAGAGATATTCTTAGAGTAAGTTCCACTGGGTCATTGCTAGATCTCTATTCTGGATCTCACTGGAAATGACTTGTGCCTTGCTGAGGACTTTTGGTATGAGGTTCATAAGTACATCGGTCAGCAGTTTCTTTCTTCGCAGCACTTTATGTGGTTCTGATGTCAGTACAATGCTAGCCCCATAAAGTGAGTTGGGAGGTGCTTTGTGAAGAAGTTCTATGAAACTGATATAATTTCTCCCCTAAACGCTTGGCAGAATTCACAAAGTAAGCCACATGAGTCCGGAACTTTGTTTATTTGGGGAGGGAATTGAGCTACAGATTAAATTTCTTTCATAAAGATCTGATTATTCAGACTATCTAGTTCTGTTGAACAAGATTTGGTAGTTTGTATCTATCAAAGAATTGATCCATTTCACACGAGGCTTCAGAATTATTAGAATGTACTTGACAGACTTTTCTTTTATTCCTTATACTGTTAGTGGGATGTGTGGTGGTCTCCTGATATTGGCAATGTCACTCTTGATATTACTAATTTGTGTTTTTTCTTGGTCTACATGTCTAGAAGTTTGTCAATTTTCTCGATCGTTTTAAAATTTCACTAAATTTTATTGATTCACTCTATTGTTTTTCAAATCATTCAATTTCATTGATTTTTGCCATTATCTTTATTATTGTCTTCTGCTTGCTTTGGGTTCAATTTTTCTGTTTGTTTTCCTGAGCTGTAAGTTTATAACAGATTCATAGCCCCCTGCTTACTCACTCTCTTGTTCTTTTTTTCCCTCTGTCTATGTCTCTCTGTCTTTCTCTCTGTGTCTCTCTGTGTCTCTCTCTCCCTCTCTCAGTGCTGGGAACTGAACCCAGGACCTTCTTCATGCAAGGCAAGCACTCAACTGCTGGTCCTCCTCCCCAGATGAAGATTTTTCTTTTTATGTAAATATCATTGTTTTAATTTCCTTTTAAGCATTGCTTCCCCCCTTGCACTGTGCATCTTGATTGATTGTTTGCTCTTACCATTCTATTGCTCATTCATGCTGTCTAGCTCCATTACAGAGGAAACCCTCTAGTCAAAACCAAGAGACAAAAGGGGACAAATATCTC